AGGAACATAGAAAACAGGAAACGCGCTGACTCGCATCTACTCGTTATTTTACTTATCGAAACGATAGAAGAAAACACTCAACGCACACAGACAATTAGAGAAAAGAAAAAAAGAAAACAAGCAGCGCATCACACATTCACAAGCACAAGTTTCACCCATGATAGTTGGTCACTGCGGCACGCGCTGGCCCTTGATTATCATTTTCAAGAACTCCAGCTTGTTCCTAGACAACACCAGTGAAGCTAAGCTTATACGCATTTCTATCCCACTGTGGACATGAAATGCTTAAAGTAATTAGCGTGTCATATTGTCCTTGTGTCCTTTAATGGTTCGAACAGGCGGTCTTTACAGTGAACCGACAGGTGGCCTCCCACAGTAACTCAAAATAAAGACCTTTGATAAAGGTGCCAACCCCTGTTGATGTAACGTGCAAGGCACGTGCTACGATGGGGGCTCCGCCATCATTCTCTTCTAAGGGCCACTCATTTCAGTGCTACGCCGCCGTTTGTTTCCAAGGGCGTGCGAGACACGGGTTTCGTACACTGGCACATTCGACGCTACTTGTAAAGCAAACGCAGACATTGATGGGCTTTAGCTCCCAGACAATACCTCTGTTTTCGTAGCCTATCGTTCAGGCTACGTCCCATCTGCTCAACGTAAATGCGGCCACAGGAGAGTGGTAATTTATACAGTACTTCCATAGCACATGGAACCATCGGATTAACGAGCTTCTCACAGCACTCGTTCCCCGCTATTTTCTTTACCATTCGCCTTAACTCTTAAACAAACCTTACTTCTTTTTTTTCTTTTCTTTTTGCGGGGCAGAAACAAAATTTCATGGGTTCCCAGCGGCTGCATATATTTTCTTTTAAGTGTGTGAGATTCTGTGTAAATAGGGGATTGAAGGTAAACTTTGTCCCAGCGGCCGCATACACCTTGTTTGAAGTGTGTGAGATCCTGTGTAAATAGGGGATGGAAGGTAAACTTTAGGGCAGCGTTCTGCCTGGTTAGAAATAGTCACTAGATGAAAACAGGAACTCTGACGAAAAGTTTAATAAACAGTAAACCGACGTATCAAGACCATTTCGGTCCTTTTTCACGGGGAAGTGACGGAAAGAACCGTCACTCACCCGTGAACGAGAGACCAAACTCTTTTCGAAACGCTGGATTACTGTTTAATTAACTTTTGCTTAAAGTCTTTTTCAGAGGGATGACGACTGGTCACTTCCTTTCTACAACAACTAATGTTTTAGTCGTTTTGAAATTTCCGTATTTTTTTCTGCCCCTCAAGGTTTGTGGCAGCACCTGCCCGTGGCGCGTTTTAAACCCTGCCGAACTTGATTCGTAAATTACGACGGAGCTTGGCGAAAGTCGACATAAGCGCGCTACGTCTTTTCCTTTCAATCGTCGGTGAATGCATGCGGCGAGGTTGGCGATGTCGCCGGGCCGGCCAAATCGTCCAGTGGGATCAGTTCAGATGCGTCGGTTGTTTACGCGGGATTGTGACGCCTCAAACAGTCCTGCCTCACCTGGATTAGGAGTGTGGAGAAGGGACAAATCGAAAGCACCGATATCGATCCTCAGCTTAAGAACGACAAAATGTAAAGGCGTCAAGTTTGTTTCGGCGATCTATGCGATTAGCAATTAAGGGGGGTTTTCGTAGGTAATGACGGTGATGCATCGTTGGTGATGCATCGGAATGAAAAAAAACAGCGCAAACCAAACGACAGACCAGTAGAAGAGTATACAGACAGTCAAGGCGTTATATTTTTCCACAGGTCCGTCGTTTTCTTTGCGCTGTTTGTTCATTCCGATGCATCACCAACTAGCCCAGATTTCTACGCTTCTAGAGTTCAGAATGATACTAGTAAATGCGGTGAACAACAAAGAAAAGATAATACTGCTCGCAAATCTAGATTCGGTAATTACAATGAGCGTTTCATAGAGGTTCTATGTAGTGCAATTGTAGTTATTACATATGACGCGCAGAGATTAGTTTTGAACATATGATAATTCCGAAGTCAGGTATTCTATGACAAGTTCCCAGTCGGCTGCTGCGCAATCAAATCAATCACCAGTGACTTATACAGAAGAAGTAGAAGGGATGATGCTTAGAATGTCGCATTACTTGTTTTTAGTTTATTGCGGTTTTTCACAGGAATAACATTGCGCTCAGCTCACCAAGTACACAAAGGGGAATTATTCTGCACTTCGTCTCGATATTTCATTTGTGCGAGCGGAATGGAAATTCTGTGATCGATGCGACGATGTGTTGGCGACGCATTATTTGACGATTTTATCGGGACGCGGCTCGACCAAGTGAAGATTAAAATCGGTTTCCTCAAAGCCTCTTATATCTTGCCGCGGAGTTTAAAAAGGCAGGAAACCTTTTTGTGCACAGCTGAAACACACCACACACTTGCCGGAAAACTCCATCACATTTGACTCGTAACACAAGAGTCATTTGGGCAAACTTCTGCCTACATGACTCATGCGTTACCAGTCAAAGGTGATGCACTTTCTAGGCAAGACGAAAGACACATTAGGAAATGACTCGCGCCCCGTTCGAATAGACAGACATAAACAGCGTTTCTTCGGTAATGAATGTTTTCAGCTATACACAAGGCTGCTGGATGGTCCTACATGTGGGTGACGACTTCTCAGAAGTAAAAGCAAAAAATACAACAAATGACGTCTGCAAATTTAAAGGCGAAAGCCTTATATGTCCCATTACTCGAAGAGGGGTCGGCGTTGTGCCCGAAAGATAGCCATAAAAATACATCATCAAGCACGCGCCGCTCAAGGTCCAAAGTGGACGCGCCTCAGAAATAAAACAAAGAGAAGCGCAGCAACGCACATGCTTCATCCCGGAAGCCATGACGTCGGCGGGAGCGCCGCGCCTACGCAGTGGTGGAGCGTGACGTCACCGCCGGAGCGCCGTGTGCAAAACGAATACGTGGCGCTCTGCTTGTAGGAATGCGCTGCGTGTAGGAATGCTTTCGCATTCCTAGGCGTAAGCAGCATAAGTGTCTGCGATATGTTCTTTAATCCGCCTTTGTCAACGTGTATGGCCGAAAACATATTCACCGGTTCATATATTCATCCGAACTGTGTATACAGAGCCTTTATTATGAATACCGACATTTTTTACAGCGAAGCTGTATACCTCTACCCGCCAAGGAAATTTTCGTGTCGTTGGCGTTGTAAGCAAGAAAACTCCCGGCGAACAATTGAAGGCAATACAGAATATCTGCTTTGAAATGAGGCATACAGCACAAAGCTCAGTATCCGTTTCAATAAGGAAAACCACAAAACAGGCATCAAAACCACATGATGGATGATAAGGCGCGTGTCAAGAATAGGAACACCCTCCCACGCGTTCGGGTAAAAACTAGGTTTGCAGCTGCTTCGAAAGGGGTTGACGTCATTCGAAGCCCTCGAGTGAAGTGCAAGTCAATCGCAAAATGAATGATAACGGCGTATGCGAACAATGCGAAGCACGTGCCTTCTTCCCGCGTGTGTTGACCGGTAAAGATTACGGTTGAGTAAGGTGCTTCGAGTGGAAAAGTACCCAAAAGTATTGAAATCACGTAGTGACGTCACCATGCTTTCAAATATAAAAGGGAGACCGGTCTTAACAAAGAATATCTCTGCAGTGAGAAGCGAAAATCTCAGTGTGTATCGCCCTGATCATAAAGTAGTTTTGAATATCGTTCTGAAGTAATAAAGCGTGTGGTTAAGTACATTTAACTTGTCTCTGGTTTCACTCTGTGTAGAGCCATGTGTGTGAATATTTAGTGACATCGCAATGGGTAATCGTCGCCAATGTCGTTTACATCTTCTCTGTCCAACCACCTACAAAGCGTGGATTGGAGCCACATTTTGTTTTTCACTGGCAGCCGAGTAGGCTAGGGTCCTATGAAATTTAAAAGCACCAGCAGTTAACGTTGTGCTAAAAAAAATATGGGGCCGTGTTTTTACCGTCAAAACCGAAACAGAAATTAAAAAAAAAAATATATTCCGCTCAAAATTCATGGGGTAAGGAAGGGAATACGGTTAACGTAATCTAATAAGGCCATGCATTTGGAATCTGACTTTATGAATTCACTGGGCTACGTGAGTCGATGGTTAGAAATTCGATTACGTTAGGGATATGAGAAAACTATAGTTTAGATGCTAAGATAGTTTGCACTTGCAGATTATATGGGTGTTCTGGTTATATTTTTTCAATGTATGCGTACTCTAGTTACAATCTTTAACCAGTAGCTTTTTCTTTGAATAAAAGCGAGATGCAGCAATATTCCATTGTTCGCGGTATTATTTCTTCAATTAGGGGAAGACTGCATCCTAACTTATCATGACAGCGAAACGCACAATGGACAGTGGCTTCTCGTCTAGAACTGCATATGCGGTGGCCGTTTATTTTTCCCTGTGCCTCAACACAGCCATTTTTTTTCCTCACTCGCTCCACAATCGCACGAAGAGATAGAGGTACTAACATTTAAGGGGCGAAATCGCCTTAGTTCCCAAGATGCTAAAAAAACACCATGACTTTCAGGCAGGGGAATTTTTACACGCAGGCTGTTTTTCAAGCGATTAGCCCAGCAATTTTCCGATATCTTCTAAATAAATACCAAAAACTTTAAGCAATTAAAGATATCCTTAAAAGTAATGTTGACGGATTACTCACTTTAAAGAAAACAGACTCAACGAGCGGTCACCAAGCTTCCGATACTTTAAATGAAACAAAATAACCGTCTTAAACCTTGACTTCGCTTGGCATCGAAACGAAATATTGATAGTTTATAACAAACGAATTTGAAACAAATTAATGACAAAAATACAAATTATTCGATTTTCAGATCGAATGAATCATAAAACACACGTAGAATTATAAGAGGAAAAACGTTTTTGCAAGAACTGTTTGCTCAGAGAGTTTTAGAAAGAAATGTCAATCTTATTTACTACATATCCACTTGTTTAAATATGATACCACTCACCACAATCGACGTTTAAGTAAATAATTGCGCAAAGGAACGCCAGCCGATAAAGTTTAAGCATAATGAGCAATGTCTGTAATACAAGAACCACACAATGAAATTATACATAAGCAAAAGGTTGAAGTATATCTACTGAGCTTACACTCCCTTTATTTTAATGATTCGGTCATTGACTGCGAAAGCACAAGCAACCTTTCAAAAAGAAACTGCTACATGCCGCTTCGGTTAATGTACTTACCTCAAGATACAATGATTCTGCAACTTTACAACGTGTAATATGACGTAAAAGATAACTCACTAAACTAACGATAACTCACTAAAAACTAAACTTTCCTCAAACAAATTTTTATCACAATTATAAGGGGCAGTTAGAAAATGTTGAGTATTAATCGCACCTAAATCTAAAGAGCAAACTTAATGGATCAAGTTTACTTCGACGTTTTGTTTTTTTGTCAAGACAGTGGTTTTATGACTAAAGTTAAAGCAGCATCCAAAGAAAGAATTAAAGAAAAGTTTTCTGCCAACTACTTCGGTTAAATATAAACTTTTCTCTTAACACCTCGGTGAAGGCTACACACTTGGGCCCATAAAAACAGGCGCTGTCAACGAGCTTCGCAGACTGTGAAACTGTTGACCACAAACGCCGTCAGCCATGCTCATTGCCATTTGATACCATAGCAGAAAATACGATCTCGCTATATTTATGAAAAAAAAAACAATTTCTCTATTTATACATATTGTTTCTAATGCAAAGCAAAAAGTCAAATGAAAGAGTACCGGTGCACAGAGAAACAATTTTACCACGAACATTTTAGACGTCAATTTGCTCTCCAACCAAGGATAGCCGAGAAATAAAGTGTAGCTAGGTACGGTCCTAGCGGGACCTAGAGGTGTCTGCCTCCACTTAAATTACGTCTAACTGTGTAAGTATTTAGCGAAAACAAATTAGTTTCCGCGGGAAAAATTCCAGAAAAAGTACGTTTCCCAAATCGCCGTTTAAGGAACAATTTTTGTTTTAATATCAGTGTCCCTTTAAGGTTAATAACATTATTAACACAAACAGGTAGGCTTCACTTTGTTCTTTATCTCCCCAAGTCTGTTTTACCAAGTCTATCAAGTTTGCTCATACATAATAACATGCTTTCAAATGTGATTGTAAAGTTTTGATATTAGTTTTGCAATACATTCGATACCTAGGCAAAGGGGTAAGGAATACCGAGCTTTCACAAGCTCGGTATTCCTTAAGCTCGAGACAAATCGCGTCAACACAGAAGGCGAACGATGAGCAAAAACATCGCTCACCCGGTTCTAAAGAGTACAGCGAGCAGGGCAAGAGTGGGGAAACAAGTTGAGAATAATATTTATTAAAACAGCGGCCAATGTGGTGGATAGGAAATTCAATTTTCTAATAAGAAACCCGTGATGGGGTCTAACAATATTTATTTTGAGGTGAGCCTTACCTGTTTCTGGAAGCTCCTCGGAAACGAAATCCTCAAGCACGTCGTCTTGTGAATGAACGAGGCTCGCCGAAGGGGGGAATCGTCTCATATATACAACTCAGTCTAACCAAGAACAACGCAAAGCTACTTCCGGAAAGACAAAGAAATCAAATGGGTAGAGAGTTGAGTCAAGAGCAACGTACGAACACCTTTGGAGAAAGCATGTGTTTTATGGTTTAATTGTTATTACCACGGCGATTCCGTAAGACAGTCTTAACCAAAAAAGTCAAAAGTTATCTTACAAGGGTCAACGTACAGGCATGGCGAAGGGCTGGCGGCGAGTGAATAAAAATAAAAAAGACTAAAATATTAAAATTTCCGTGAATAAGAAAAAAACACCATTTGGATGAACAGTCGGTGCTTTGAATTGATACATGTGCGTTGTCTCAAATTACTACGTGATTCTTGCGTAGTTCACGAGTTTGTATGGCTACGCGCCGATCAATGTCATTTTAAAACATAAGTCGTCTTATTCGACCTTTGAAAAACAGAACATAAGTCGACGTGATGATAATCTACGAAGAACTCATGTACTAGGCACGAGCTTGCTGAACGTTACTGGTCAACATCATTTCGCAAGACCTTTTGTAAGCAGTGCAATAGGATTTAATTCGAGAACATGAACAGTATTTCCATGGTTTGAAGTAGTTGTCTAACGGAGAGGTTACATAATAGAAAACGGACTTTTTTGACTGCGATGGATTGGGGAAGCAGAGAAGCTTAGTTGCAAAAGATGATTTATGAACGGTTGGAAAGTAGACCAGTCTTTCAGTTTATTGATGTTAGGCTGCACTGTAAAAATTGCTTCCCAAAATTCACGTCATGAAACAAGCAAGGTAGCACCGTAGTGAAAGAAAATACACATGCTGGGATTATATATTCAGTCATTATTATAAAATATCAAAGAACATGATAGCATTCACATGTGCTCATCTTTTTTAAGTTTTTGGTTTTTTAATACTAATAATAATATTAATGATATAAATTTAATATTCATAATAATATTAGCCTGTTGCAAAACGCTAGCGGAAACAAAAAGGTAGCCTATACACTTTTATCACGATCCATGATATATTATTAACGTCATAGATGCAAATATTACGGTTCCTTCATCTTGCCGTCGTGCTTAAGAGAGTCGCCATACATGCAGCCATTGAACTTCCACTTAAGTGCCATCACACTTACATTCGTCAACACGGAGTTATATTTCACTAACGTGCCATCATCAGTTCGCCACTGCAAATAAGCGACCCCTATGTTTAGAACGGAGCGCCGATATGATTTGGCCGGCTTCCTTTAGCACTACTGTAACCTTGCGTAAGACGTTTTCGGTGACATTCCACCGAGGTTATTTTTTATGTTTGAAACTTGCTTCAAGTTCTGAAATTTTTGCGTATCATGTAGTTCGGTCCACGTAAATCCTACCTCCTCCGTGCATCGATTAACCACCGTGTAGCAGCCTAACATCAGCCACATCGAGGTTATTCGCAAGGGTGAACTCTAAACAGCGTCATTGAGTATGTTGCGTCCGCGGAACACCCTGCAGAAACTTTAGTCTGGTGACTGCTGCCCCGCCGCCCACCAAAACTCGGCTGCCTCGGTGACGGTGCCAGATCTGACCAAAGCGGTAGCGAGTCTCACCTCCTTTTCATTTAGTATTTTGCTTTTCTTTCTCACCTATGGTAGCACTCCTCTCAATGCTAACAATGAAGGAGCTCAAAATTTTTGAAGTTAGAACATTAGAAGTTATAAACCGTGCCGATAAACGAGGCTTCAGAAAAAAAAACAAAAAAAAAACTGATTTCGTGACGCGTACGCCAAATACCTGCCGGATATCAAGCGATGGTGCCAAACTGGACATTCAAGTGATATTGGATCCGAATTTCGGCGGGTAGTGGCACAATACTGCCAAGTACCTTAGGATGGCTTCGGAACGGAAAGGATGACATGTTGCCATCGTGTTTTGAACGCTTATCAAATTTAAGGTTGTCCTGGAGCGCGTGAAAGGGCACATCACAGAAATGCTAAACTTCGGCAGGCCTTTGGGCTTCCGTTGGCACTTTTAGAACATATTTGGTGATCCTGAGGCAAATAAAAAAGCCAAACTTTGGCATGTCCGGAACTCTAGATGACTATTTACTTTGGCAGTCATGGCTAAAGTACGGCAATTGCTTCGGCACTCATGTCGCGGACCAGAGAAAAGCCAAACTTTGGCATGTTCGAAATCCCCGAATTGCGCGTTACTGTTCCGGTTATGGCTCAAGTAGGGCACGTTCTTCGGAACTCCTGTAGGTGACAAGAGGAAAGCCAAACTTTAGCGCGCCTTATAATCGGTTACAAGTCAAGAAGGTAGTGGCAAATGCACCTCAAAGCGAATCTTTTTTTCCTCCACTACCAAACACGTTTCATCGTTTCTCTGACGTCACGACCTGGGACAACCAATCTTTTTCTTGCAAATAAATAGTTCCAATATGAATGTCGGACAGCTTTTCCACGACTCCAGCATCTTGCAGCACTAATTAACGTACGTCACGCAGTAACGATACACGATCGCATGCCGGTACGATACTCATCCAGATCGAAACACAGGGGTGGAAATTGAGCCCAGGATTCTGGGTTCTCCAGCGCGAGCTTTCGCTCCACGCGCTCCGAGCTGCTGTGCGCTAGCCCACTCGACCACAGATCCCCGCCTCCCTGCCCGTGCCCGTGCCGCTAGCCTGGAGTTAAAGACCCTAGGCTAGCGGTTGTACTGCACTGGCTAAATTTATCATCTACAGCTGGGAGACTCGTTGTCTCTTGGGGCAGACCAAGTTCTAGGCTGTACAAACGCACACACAACCCAATTTGTTCTTTCAGCAATAACTCTGCTCTTTACCGCGGTTTTACACTTACCCGAGCGTAAGTCGCTAAGTCCTAACTGCGTCAACACTTACTCACAATATGTTCTGCGTGCCAGCGTGAGGATCTGGTGATAGCATTTAAAATCGAAAAGTTTTCTGTAGGCGTGAGGCTTACCATCGTACGTCGGACACCGTCTGTTTTTTTCGTCTTCCTCAAATTGCGTCGCAGCATTGTGAAGCGAAGCAACTACGAAAAATACTGAAATACTGCGTCGCAGCATTCTTCGCAGTTGCTTCCGTGGAGCAACCTTAAAATGCAGTGATCACCAAACTCTTTTTATATTTGTAGTTGGCTGTGTGGGATGGATATGAGCGAACCGCCAGCACAGTGAGCGTCTTCACCCGATTTTGACCTGTACCTTTGCTGGTGTTAATAAATAGTCTGTCGACTAAAATTCGAAGCAGTATCTATTCATCTGTGAACCGTGGCATCCTTGTCAAGTTTCCGCGTCTCAATCAACTGCACGGTAATGTATGACTTCAATATTACCCTCGAATGCAATCTCATTCGCAATAGTGAGGTATTACATATACGTGGCATACCACTTATATATATCCAGTGTTACAAATATTTAGTTTTTTTGTAACACTGGCTTGTAATAGAATGTTATAAACATTCAATTTATATTGTTTTGAACGTTAAGAGGCTGATGTCTTCTTTC